ACTAAAACTAATAGTACAAAACCGCAACAAATACCCATAAACAATGAGTCAATTACAGAAATTAGGCACATTAAAATAAATAAAAAATTAAGGAAAGTAAGAAAGAAACTAAAGAAACTATACCCAAAATATGAATATTTAAGTATTACTAAAATAGTCAATGCTAGGCTATCTAAATTAATAGATACTATATCCAAAATATAATACAAATATATTTACTATCTTAAAAATAAAAGATNTATATCCAAAATAGAATACAAATATATTTACTATCTTAAAAATAAAAGATGAATAAAGAAGAATTCGCACTAGAAGAAAAAACATATGAAAATCCGGAAGGATTAAAAATAATAATAATATTTTCTAACTTAGGAAGAAGATACAAGAAAATAGGAAATAACCTAAACTTAATGTTAGAAAAAGAAACGGTAAAACTAGAAGATAGTTTAACTGCAATGATTAGAATAACAAAAGAAAACGAAGAAATAGATAGAAAACGAGAAATTAAGGAAATACAACAGCAAGCTAAAGAAAAAATACAACAGATAGAGGAAGTAAAGAACACTAAAATAACAGAATTAGAAAAAGAATTAGAAATGCTAAAACAGCTATATGCAAGTAGACAAAAAGAAAAAGAAAAACGCAAAGAAGAAGAATAAGAGTTAAGACTGACAAATGAAATAGAAAAATTTAAATTATAGTTAGAAGAGGTACAAGATAATCCACCACCAAAAATAAGCATAAACGAAATAAATGATCAAAGATAGGGATCTAGGAGAAGGCTATTCAGAAACAAGTGAGACATATACAAAAATTATAGAAAAAGTAGAAAAGACAAAAACAAATCCAGAAATATTGAGATTGTAATAAAAAAACATGATGGTACAGTTGCAACAACATCTATAGAAATATTGTATAAATATGAAATAGCGATAAGAAATGAATTTAGTAGTATGACAACAAAAATAGAAGAACAAAATAAAGATAAAACTACAAATAGAAATTTAATGACAAAATTAGCAATATGTAATATGTGTTATATAGACGAATATACTTGTGCATTTAGAGACTATTATTATAGAGGAACATATAGTCCGGATGAAAGTAAAGAAATAAGAAAATTATATTTTACCAAATTACCAGAACCTTTCAGCTCAAAAATAATAAAAAATTGGAATGAAGCAGAATTAGCAGATACCCTAGGAGCTCGAATAAAATTTTTACAAAACTGGTTTATAGAATTATGTGAAAAATATAAAGAAAATATCAAAATGGATAAAATATTAGTAAAAAATTTGGCATGCTGCAAAAATAGAATAGCACCCCAATTCGGATGCACAGATAAATATTACAAAAAAGAAGGTAAGAAAACAAGAAGATATAAATCCAAATATAAGTATAAGAAACCAAGAAGAAGATATTATGTAAAAAATTACAAACATAAAAAACTATATAGAAAAAAGAAAAAACTAACAGAACGCACTTGTTACAATTGTGGAAAACTAGGACACTTAGCTAAAGATTGCAAATTACAAAAAAATCCAAAGAAGAAACAAATTTCCGAAATAATAATAGACAATGATAAATATACACAAATGGAATATATAGATTATGAATTAGGAATTGAAGACAGTATATATGAATTATCAGAAAATGAATTATCAGAAAATGAAAAGGATATAAATAATAACATAATAGAAGGATCAGACGAAGAGAATTATGACTGATAAAGATATACAAATCATACAACAATAAGAACACCAAAATGAACAATCTTCAGAACAAAAAATAATATTTGACACCACTATATTTGAACAAATAAAAGGAAAAAAATTGGACCTAAGCATAGACAAAATACTAGAAGTACTTACAATAAAGAATTGGTTTAAAAGACAAAAGGAAGAATACTATGTAGTAAGCCAAAGAGAACATATAATAGACTGTAAATACATTAAAGGTAAAGCCAGAATACCAATATTAAATAAAGAAATACAAGATATAAAAACAAAAAACCCAATAAAATACGTACATTTAGGAGGAACAGAGATACTAATAAAAGCATGTTTTAGAGAAGGAATAGATACCCCTATAGAAATATACTTAGCAGACGATAGAATTGTACAACCTATAGAAAAAAGTATAATAAGTGCAGTAAAAGGTAACTTAATATACCAAAAATTTAAATTCATAATAAGTGCAAACTATTCGGTTGCAATAGATGATAAAAATATAGAAAAATCATTAGTTCTATATTGGAAAATGTCGGGAATAGAACTAGCACCAGGAAGTAAGATATTCATAGCAAGATGTAAAAACCTATATGTCTTTACAACAAAACATAAGATAACAGCTAAAAATAAAATAAATAGAATTAAAATAGAAAATCCGTTCGAAAGAATAGTATCAGTTATAGACAACAATGATTATAGTTATAAAGAAATAGACATAGAAGAAGACTTAGAAATAGTAAAAGAAAGATTAAGCACGTCAAAACGAACAAGTGATGAAATACCAGAAACATCATCAAGAATGAGTACATCAAGAAGAATAGATTACACAACTCCACAAAAATTAATAGAACAAAAAATAGAAGAAATAAACCCACATCATTATTATATAACAGGAATAATGGACCAAAGAAAATATTTAATATTAATAAATACAGGACAAGAAGAAAATTATGTTATAAGAGAATTAATACCAGAAAAAGAAATAGTAACAAAAGAACAACAATGTTCAGAATTACCAAAAGCACTAAGAAAAAGTGAAGAAACGAGTGAAAAAGAATTAATTATTGGGGGAATACCAATACTAATAAATTTTAAAATATATCAAGGAGATAAAAACATTACACTAGGAATAAAATGGTTAGAAAAAGTCAAACCATATAACTTAGAAGATAGGCAATTAACAATAAGTTATGAAAACAAAAAGATAATAATCAGAAGAACCTTAATATAATGCAAAAAATATATATACTTGCCAAGATAATAGTAGAAGGATATTATAATAGATATTATACACCTATGATGGATACAGGAGCAGAAGCTAACATGTGTAAACATAATTGTCTACCAGAAAATAAATGGGAAAAGTTAAGAACTCCCCTAGTAGTAACAGGATTTAACAATGAAGGAAGTATGATAACACACAAAGCAAGGAATCTAAAAATACAAATATGGGATAAAATATTAACCATAGAAGAAATATATAGTTATGAATTCGCAAATAAAGATATATTACTAGGAATGCCATTTTTAGATAAGTTATTCCCACATACTATAACAAAAACACATTGGTGGTTTACTACCCCATGTAAACAAAGAATAGGAGCAAAAAGAGTAAATAATAAATTGAGAAAAACAACACCCTGGATTAAAGGAAGTGAGAAAATCACCCAGAAATTAGAAAATATAACACTAAGCAACCATAATATAGAAATAATCATTTTCTCAATAGACAAGTTAAAACTACTCCAAGATAAATTAAAACTACTATATAATGATAATCCCCTACAAGGATGTGAAAAACGTAAAACGAAAATAAAAATTGAACTAATAGATGAAAATAGTATAATAACACAAAACCCTTTAAAATACAATTTTAATGACCTAACAGAATTTAAAATACATATACAGGAATTATTAGACAATAAATACATACAAGAAAGTAATAGCAAACACACTAGCCCAGCATTTATAGTAAATAAACATAGTGAACAAAAACGAGGAAAAAGTCGAATGGTTATAGATTATAGAAATTTAAAAGCAAAAACAAAAATATATAATTATCCGATACCAAATAAAATACTAAAAATCAGACAAATACAAGGATATAACTATTTTAGTAAATTTGACTGTAAATCAGGATTTTACCATTTAAAACTAGAAGATGAATCTAAAAAGTTGACAGCATTTACGGTACCACAAGGATTTTACGAATGGAATGTATTACCCTTTGGATATAAAAATGCACCAGGTAGATACCAACATTTTATGGATAACTACTTCAACCAATTAGAAAACTGCATAATATATATAGATGATATACTATTATATTCTAGAACAGAGAATGAACATATAAAACTACTAGAAAAATTCATACACATTGTAGAAATATCAGGAATTAGTTTAAGTAAAAAGAAAGCAGAAGTAATGAAAAATCAAATAGAATTCTTGGGTATACAAATAGATAAAAATGGAATAAAAATGCAAACTCATATAGTACAAAAAATAATTAACTTAAACGAAACACTTGATACAAAAAAGAAGTTACAATCATTTTTAGGATTAGTTAACCAAGTAAGAGAATATATCCCTAAATTAGCAGAAAATTTAAACCATTACAGAAAAAATTAAAGAAAGATGTAGAATACCATTTTGACGAAAAAGATAAAATACATATAAAAAAGATTAAAATTATGTGTCAAAAATTACCAAAACTATATTTTCCGGATGAAGAAAGGCAGTTTACATACATAGTAGAAACTGATTCTAGTGATCACATCTATGGAGGAGTTCTCAAATATAAATATGATAATGAAAAAACTGAACACCATTGTAGATATTAGTCAGGATCATACACGGAACCACAATTAAAATGGGAGATAAATAGAAAAGAACTATTTGGATTATATAAATGTTTGTTAGCATTTGAGTCATACATCGTTTATAACAAATTTATTGTAAGAACAGATAATACACAAGTAAAATGGTGGATAACACGGAAAGTGCAAGATTCAGTAACAACGAAGGAAATAAGAAGGCTTGTATTAAATATACAAAATTTTACATTTACAATTGAGGTAATAAGGACTGAAAAAAATANACACAGGTAAAATGGTGGATAACACGGAAAGTACAAGATTCAGTAACAACGAAGGAAATAAGAAGGCTTGTATTAAATATACAAAATTTTACATTTACAATTGAGGTAATAAAGACTGATAAAAATATTATTGCAGACTACCTATCAAGAAAAAGGTACCCAAACTGATGACAGACAAGAAACAAAAGATTTATTTGCAATCCTTACTACTCTATCTTTACAGATGGATAGTATGGGTAAAAGATTACAACAGCTAGAGGAAAGCAAGCCAAGTCAGCAGCATGACTATAAAGATGCGGAGCTAAGTCGATCGGAAGACTCAAAATTTCCAGAGTTAGAGGGAGACGTTGGGAAACTCCGTAAAACCCATAACAATGTTTGTTTACATACACCTGCAGGTATGAGTAAACAAGTTAATAAGAAACCATATACCAATGCCAATTTGAATAACATATTTGATAAACCAATTACTCCAAAAATACCAAAAGAAATAATGACTACAACACCACAAACCTCAACCTATGCAAACAGTCTACACCAAAGTAAGAAAATATACAACTATATTACCCAGACCTATATTGAAAACATATACAAAATCCAAACATTTCTAAACCTTAACCCCAGAGCAACTACTACAACAAATCAAACACAAGACTACACAACCCAAAAACTCCAAGGATATAATAGACTTATTGCCCAACCAAAAACCAGATCCAATCTAGTAAAAACATGCTACAATTACGCATTACTTAGCACAGTATATACCTATGATGGAGAAGAAATAAGTGGAATACCAGAGATATATAAAACATTTATTACATATAAAAGAATTACAAAAGGAAACCTATTTTTTATAAAATTCTATACAGCACCAGCTGAGATACTATACGATGAAATAAAACCTCTTATACAGGTTGTAAAAATAGGATTGACACGAGATATGATAATACCAGAAGAGATAGAACAACAACCAGAGATACCATAAATCGAGATACCGAGATTTATAACTATACTTTCATCAATCCTATCGCAATAAGTCATTCTGTTTTTAGTTCATTATCATTGTCATAGAAGTATAATCACAGATTTTTTGCTTTTTGGTTCACAGAAAATAGATCATCTATGAAATGATACATTTGTCTTTGAACTCTAAAGGTATAACTACCATAATTTCTTCTCGCTAAATCTTTGTTGTAGCTCATGCCAAGTGATGTAAATGCAAAGATATTATTGTATGTTCTAATGTATGTGCGAAAGAGTTAAGATTCCTCAGTATTTGCTAATATAAATTACGCAATTCTATGGGTATTTTGTGTGTAGTTAAGATAACTGGACCATTGCTACAACAAAATATATTAGGTTCAAATTGAAATTTCTTAGCTCGACAAAACTTGCAACGTGAAATTAGTTTTAGTGGGATGTATTCTGATCGCATTTGGCTAATGGTTATGTTGCCTGTTTTATTTATATTTGGACCTGCAACTTCCAATATGTCAGAATGAATAAAGGAAGGAAAGCTAGATTGGTAAGAAATAATATTGCAACATACACCAACCTTTATTCAGAATAGTGTAAGAACTCTGATTTTGTTCATTAGCCGTACCAGACGTTGACCCTAGTAGCATATAATTTTAGGATAAATATAATTAAATATTTTCTTAATTAAACAATGGTAAAAACTTTTTGCATAGAGGATTGTACTTGCCTACTTCAAATATTGAGGATGGGTGGGCAGAATTTTTTGCCCTATCATAGTAGGCTGCCAACATAGTGGCGCGATGCATATTAGCTAATAATTGCAATACAAAATGTGGCTAATGTCAAAGTATAACCAAATAAGCTTGACAAAGTAAGCGTATTTATCAGAAGATATATATGAACATGTAGAAAATTCTACACAAAGGCAGAAAACACATATGCTTAGTATTCTAACCTATTTCAGATGACAATGCAGATGCAGTGGATTTTTTGCTCGTAGTCGGTGTTTTGGTAGTAGAGCATGTTTTTTAGTGGATTCCATTTGCTTATACGTCTCATGCTATCTGAAATTCATTTATGCGTTTCGTTCTGCCAAATAGGAAGAACTGTTTTTGTTCTGAGAATGCATCTGCTTCAATGTAGTTTCTATCTCCAATTATCTGTAGTTGAGGCCAAGTTTGATAAGAATCAATATCCACCACATGGAAAAGAGAGAGTAAATATTCTAAAGTACCAAAATAAGGAAATAACAACAGTAAAATGGAGACATCAATAATTCTATCTTCCTAAATCAATGTTGTTGGAGCAAAATTAGTACCTATTACAAATTGACCCAAATCCGTAGCAAAATTTTGAAATTACAGAGCATGTCTCGCAATTGAAATTTTCAAAGAGGTATTGTTTGGTGAAGCGCAAAAGAAGACCAAATACCCCGAAATAAGTTCAAATGCAAACAAGAGGGGAATAAGAGTGGAACATGATGACAGAACGTGAGTATAGTAATCAAGCAGAGCAGAGAAATAAAGAGGGGAAAATAAGTGCATCAACCAGAGAACAACTGTGCTCACCAAAAGGGAAAAAGGTCACAGAGGCACAACAACTAAAACTGAAAGTGAATCGAAGGACATAGACGCAGAAAGAAGATTGAAAGAAAGTTTCCGAGAAAAAATGCAGATGAAAGTTTCATGTTAAATTGCATGAAGATAAGAATACAAAGCCACCATTTCGTTGGTGAGAAATGTCTTAGTAAGTCCTCATCATAAAGTGTTTCTTATCTTTTTTCAAGGATAAAACTGGCACATAGACAATATAAATATCTATTATAGTTCCACTTGTGCAAATAAAGTCACATGTGTTGTGCCATAAAGTCACATGTGCTGGACCATTAATATCAATTCACCACATAAGCTCTTCAGACAGAAGCACACATGGAAAACCGGTGGGGTCAGTGGCAGACCAGGATTTTATGGATGCGGGTTCAATCGGAAAAGTTCATAACTAACATAAGTTGTATAAGACACGAGAAGCAAGTTTTTTTGTCTGCTTACAACGTGATCTCGTAATAAAGTCCTTTTAAAGTCGGTGCTCTATATTTTAAACAAAATTTTGCTTATGCAAATTTTAAAATCTAATCTTAGCTAATTTATTCAACTTTAACAAAAATATATTTTGACCAATTTTAGAATTTATTAACTCTAAAAAATTTGATCGATTATAAAATCTTTTTAGCATTTATAAGTAGCAGGTTATTATTTGCAAAAGAAGACAATAAGAAAAGAGTTACAAACTAAACTAAATTAACACCAATAATCAAAGAAAGAGAGTTTATACACTAAAAAATTAAATATAAGAAAATGAAAAGAATTCCACCATAAACTAAATTAAATTAAATTAACAAATGAAAAATAATTTCAACAAATATATTTGCAAGTCTTGGCAAATTTTATGAAAGGGAGAACTAAAATTACCCTCTGGGGTAAAATAAACTTCAATATAATTTCTATTGAATTTATGTAAAGAAAATAAACTATAAAATAAAATAATGAAAACGGCAAAAGATATACTACAAGGAAAATAATTTGATTTGATTGCAAAGACAGTTATATTAAACGATGCTGCTATCTTTACGGGTTTGTTTCCTTTTCTAATTCTTGTTGCAATTTATGCAAACAAAAAATAAAGTAGGCACAAAACATGAAAGGGATTTGAGTTAGGGGTGAGCATCGGTCGGTTCGTTTCGGTTATGAATATTATCGATTTAGCATATCGGTTATTCGTTTACATGAAAGGGATTTGGATCGACTGTTGTCGTCGTTACAGGTCCTCTACCTATAAACACAGAAGCGGATCTAGGATTTTAGGTTTATGGGTTCCAACAAAAATTAAGTTAATATACAATATTAACCGGATGAACGAACTGGGTTCCAAGTTAAATATTCTTATAAATTTAATGAATTTTTCAATACAAAAGCATATTCGGGACAAAAGCTACTGGGATCACGGGAACCCGTAGCTAATGAACTGAATCCGCCTCTGTATAAACATGTCCTTCAAAATACTCCTCTCTGTGATTCTCTACAAACATTTGTTTCCACAAATTGCTTCAAAAAACCTGGTCCTGGTTGTACAGAAAACTCTTATGCATACTTCCCTGAGAACCCTGTTACTCGAAATGTCGACATGGCCGGAATCTTTATTGATTCGCTAACTTTAACTACCGCTAACGGTCCACTTAGCATTCTATCGAATCATTTTTTTCATGTGCTCATACCAAATTACTTCGCGAACTTCCTGCTGGTGTTGCTGGACTCCAGCAGGAATGTTATGAAGCTAAAGGAATTGACATGCTTATCGATATTAGTCTTGGACTATACATTATTTGTCCATATTTGCACCTCTCTTCGTTAAAGGCCACGCTTTATTTGCGCTTAAAGCCCCAGCAGACCGTAGAGAATTTTTGCTTTTTAACATTAAAACTAGTTTCCAGACCTACAGTATGGCCTAGTGGGGGGCAAACCTTAAAGGTCAGGGTTCAAATCACACAAGGACAAAGAACACTAAATGATTTCTTTCGATATGTCTAAGCTTTGGTGGGAAGAGTTACCCGATACTTGTGCTGGTGAGAGAAGGAACTCAGTGGAATAGCAAGATACAACCATTATCACTTTCAAGACCTATCTATCATTGTTAAAGAACACATACAATGCCATCGAAAACTGAAAACAATATTTACTCAATCCTAAAGTGGTAGGCCTCAACTCTGCATCATGGGTAACTCTTTCAGTCCAATCAGCTCTTCGACAAACATCCCACCACTGAATGGAGTCAACTTTCACCCCAGCGTCATCCTCTTGCATTTGAACTACTGAAGCAGTCCCGGTTCTCAGACAAGAGTCACCCTGTTCTCCACCAAATGAGGGCATCAACTCATATTGAATTAAGTGACCAGATGGAGTATAAGCCAAAAGATGCTCCAACGGATTGAAGTTTTGCGGAGCAGGTTGTTCCCGGCGTACAGAACTGTGAAAAACAGCAGCAAGAACACCAGAAGGCACAGAAACCTTTCCTGCTGCAGAAGATGCGGCATTGCTCACTGTATTAAGCCAACCTGAATTCACATTCTTTATCCTGTTGACCACAGAGAGCGTGATAGGTGCTGGCGCTGGCGCAATTGACTGCTGATTGACTATGAAAGATGATATAGACCACCAGGGTCCCGAAAGAATAGGTAGAAGTATGGGTCCATCAACATGAGAATTTTGTAGTTGAAGACCAGTCTCACCACCAAAAGGGGATAGGACAAAAAGATGGCAAGTTCCCCTGGAAGAAATAATAGCTACCCACTGACTGTAGTGACAAACAAATGTCTTGTATCACCTATTCAAATTCAGGATTTAAGAGAATTTTATTATCAGAATTATTATAAAGACTGAAACCTCAATATTGAATATCAAAGAAAAACACTGCAAACAGATACGCACAGCTGGAGTCACACCCCGATGAAGCTTGTAGAGTTGGACATGCAAAGCTTTCCAATCGCTACTTTGGTTGCCTGCTCCATTTGGTGAGCAAAAAGGTAAAATGCGAAATATGTTTATATTATTCTCACGTGTAGAGGCAGTAACAAGAAGAGTACCACTAGGGTCAAAACAAAGAGCAGATATAGGACTGGAATGTGCCCTGAATTGTGAAATAACTGCTCTAGAAACAAAATCTTTACTGACAACCTTCAGCAGAAAAGTTGGCAAGAAAATTCAGTTCTCATCATCACCACAACTGCTCTGCCACAGTTACTCTGTCAAAATTGCATGTAGCACAATCATCAACTTAGGAGCTATAAACAGTTGGTTAATGCTTAGTATGGAACATCTGGACGACAAACTACTCTCATTTAAGACAGAGAGAGAGAGATATCTTGTTTTGCTCTAGTTGTACTCTAATATCGGGTTGTAGAATGCTACTTAGGATAATAGAGCTTAATTCTGGATAGTCGAAAAAGTAAAATTTAACATTCAACTTGTCTTATGACAGTAATAATTTGCTTAATAAACGAGAAAAACGTTGATTCCAGCTTAGAAACTTGCTATATGACCAGCCCCCTACCCTTCTCCACTTACAGACTTTATTCACCAGTTAGGTTTCAACCTTGTGACGTGTACTTACCACATATTCTCGTATACAACTTTTACCATTGAACCAAAGCTCTGGGGTTAGGAGGGAACAAAGTAGGAATAATATTGCACTTATTATGCTTCATTCAATTTAATTGCCAATTACAGAGAGGATCCAACAGGTTCAAGAGCTCAAGTATAACGCCAAACTAACGATGAAGATAATTCACTGAATATTTATGCCTGGCATCATGCTGAACAAGGAATATCTGATGCACCAGCAACAAAAGAAATCATAAAGTGTGAGATAGGACCAGCAAATGAAAAGTTTCGATGAGCTGTAAACATGCACGAATAGCAGATATCCTGTCCTCAACTGTACACAATTTAATCTTTGGGAGATATGGCCATCACAATGTCAAAATCAGCAGAACAGCGAAAAATAGCTATATAAAGCTTGGTTTCATTTTCAACAGAACTTCTCAATTATGTGAGTTTTCATAAGCATCTTGATAATACAAACAAGCATTAAGTAGAATATACCATGCCCGCGGCATCTGTTTCAGGTGAATGTGCTGGAACCCTCCCAACTTTCCAGCTAGAACTTGTTGACACTGGTGAATTACTCCCGTCAGGAAGAAGTTCATGACAGTATTTTGACAAAGTTTTGTATCCCATGTCTCCAAGATTGATCAATCCAGCAGCTAAATGTTTGCTTGATTCCATGGCATACCTAGCTACCAGATTTCCATTACCAGGTGATGTAGAAGGGCTAACACCTGGAGAAGGACTAAGACTTTGGGGACTCAAATGCCCTGTGTTTGACAACAGCGGATTATTTGAAGCATACGCTAACCATCTCGGTCCTACAGCCATGGGACCGTAGCCAATGTTGACCCCGGTCACACCTTGGCCACCCAACTGCGGCACAAGATATGTGAGCACGCTAAACTTGAAAATGGCATTGACAATTATATTTAATTTTGTGGTTCTAAAAATATGTGATTTATTTTAATACTAGCTGTTAGGCAATAAATGCTAAATGTAAGTAAAGAGAATAAGATATGCAAACCAATACTGTCGCAAGGCTGGGCCTCGAGCTGGCTGGAACAGGGGCTTCGAGGTCTAGTAAGGGTAGTTAGCAATGAACAATTGATGAAGAAACAATGATAATGAATGCCTCAAATGTAGCCTTCCGCGGTTAATAATGGGCAATAAATGAACAAGCAACAAATCTGTAGAGTAATTATTGAACAAGTTTAGGCAAAAAGAGTAGAGTATATTGTATATTATTCTATATTCATATGTGCCTTACAAAATGATAAGGGTCCCCTTTATATAAGAGGAGGAAATCCCAACATAGTACATGTATAATAATAATGAGGAAATACTATTGTTACAGCTGTATAATGGCTTAGTACGGATTTGTATTATTTCTCGAAGACTCTATCAGTTCTAATCACGTGCCCTCGGGAATTTCCCGCCTTTCCATGACGGTCGTCAATTTTCATGCTGCCTCGAGGTACGCTATGATGAGTCTTCGATATACCCCCTCAAGGCGAGTGCTTCGGGGACGAGTCTTAGAGAGTTCTCCGAGCCCATCAAGGTCGGGCTTGAAATGCCATAGAAGCCTTAAAATCGGCCTTCACTGATTTTGACCATATACA